AGTTAGGCACCTTAGGCATTTGTGAAAACTTATCTATAATATGGTGGATATTGTCCAACTGAACTTGAACAGTCTGAGAGAAATCAGACAAATTAAAACAACCCATTCCTGGGGACTGTTCACATCCCATATGTTCTTTTAACAGTAAATAGTCTGTAGTTGTAAGATTTTGGAGCACTACAATTTGCACTTCTCCTAATTCTTCGTTGAGTTCCAACAGTTTAGATCCAGTCAAATTTGTTGTTTTGCTGTATGCACAGGCCAGCTCAGATATCTCCTTCTTCATTCACGGAACTGATTTTTCTAACTGGCTTATATTAACATTGGTAATATTTCGTTACCAATACTTTTTGGTAAAAATAATTAATTAATTGAGGTATTAAAATAGAAACTGAAATTTGGTAAAAACAAGATTTTTCATGTATTGTTTATAAGAACTTAATACCTTATATTTTTGATGGATATTGTGCAATGTAAATGGGGAAACTGATATAGTAACTTTTAGTATAGTAAAAATATTTTTTAATAATGTTAGGTCCTGGAAGTGCAGATATAAATTTTTACATAAAAATAATGCTATTTTAACATCAGAATTATGTCTTAACAATCTTAAAATTAAGGTGTTAAAGAATCTTAGAGTGGTGCTATATAAAAATTCCATCATGTGATTGTTATTTTTCTTTAGATAGCACAATACCAATTTTAATTAGATTCTTCCAACTATGATAATTTTCTCTAATAAAGTCGTGTGGCTTTCAGTTTTACAATGGCAAATGGATAGTATATATGCTGCATTTTCTGCTCTGTAGGCAGGCAGTGTGTCCAAGGAACACATCCAAATCATGAATGACTGCATAGACTCCATCAATCTAAGATATTTACAAATAATTTGTTTTTTAAGAGATTGTGATTATTTAAAAATTATTAATGTACTTTCAGGAGTAAATTGAATTTGAATTGAAAAAGGTGTGTGTTTAATAACCTTACAATCATATCAGTTAGCACAGGTTATTATATTCAATATTGAGGTTTATGTTTCCCTGTTTTAAACTAATAGGTATTTTCTAAAGAAAAATAATGGTTTACAGAAATGTGCAATCATCGAATAAGCATCTTAAGCTGAGTACTAATGTTCTATAGATTATAAAGCAAGAAAACTTTGTATAATAAGTGACTTTTTGGTCTGAGGGATATAGTTAAAATCAAAGATATATGCAGTCAAGTTTATAGAATAATTGATGTGTCCTTTCTTAAAAGAGACAGTCACCAAATATTTGGTTTAGTTCCATTGATCTGGGCACTGAAAGAGATAATACTTACATTTTGGGAAGTGAAGTAAATGTTCAAGAAGTGCTAGAAGCTTCATGTTTTTTGTGACCACACCTCTGTTCAAAATCCTCCACTGGCTCATTTCATTCCAAATGAAAGCCAAAGTCCTTGTCATAGGCTCTATAGGCTCTATAGGCTCTATAGGATCAACCCCCCAAGGCCAGGGCCCAGCCACACTGATTTCTTTACTGTTTCTTGAACTCAACAAACACATTCTTGACTTAGAGCCTTGAGGCTGATTATCCTCAGACCAACATGTTCTTCCTCCAGATATCCACATAGTTAACTTGCTCAGGGGCTTCAAATCTCTGCTCAAATATCACCTTCTCAGTTAGGTCTATCCCAACTAATATTTAAGATTACTGACTACCTCCTCTTACACACAGACACTCTACTTGCCCTGCTCTGTATTTTTCATAACGTTTATCACCTTCCTACTTACTGTATAATTTACTTATCATGTTTGTCTCCATTCACTAGTATATAAGCTTCACATGGCAAGATTTTTGTCTGCTTTATTCATTGATGTATTCCAAATACTAAGGGCACCCCTCCCTGGCACATAGGAGGCATTTGAAAAACATTTATGGACTGAATGGCTAACGATGCATGAAATGCACTTGGCACATTGCCTAACACATAAAATGCATTTATTGAACATTTGTCTTAAAAAGAGGATGAGTAAAGCTCAGACATTAATACACAGGCAAGGAGTGACTCTGGCCTAAATTGTGGAATCAGAAGCTCACTGCACCTGAAGGGAGGCACTAGACAGGACCAGCCTCGGGGCTTAGGGGAACACAGCGAAGAAAGCCCCAGGGCCTACACGGACATACTTCATATAGCATGCTGCATTTATTTCATTGGGTCTGTCCCTCCTTAGTTTTATGTTTCTTTTAAATAAAACCACTTCAACTCATTTAGTCTTTCTTCAAAGACATAACCTCCAACCTTTTATCTTTATTATTATTACTTTGTGAGCTACGTGAAGTTAGTTCTCCCACAGCCTTTATAAATAAATGTGAAGTTCATAGATGAATACTGGAGACAGAAATAAAATGGCCCCCCTCAACCAGGCAGGCTATTTTGAATAAAAGCCTTATACTGTCACACCCTGAGGAATGAGAGCACGGAGCAGTCCCCTTCGTGTACCTGAGGCTACCATAAGATGGTATGTGCCAGTTTCCATCTTTCAGAATTCACACTCCCTTTGGATGGACAAAGATCAAGAAGAGAGCATGATTTCTTGGATTCTACAGTGGTAACAACATTATATGGCACCTGCTGCAGCCAGATTCCCCCCCAAAATGAATTTCCTAAGTGTCTGCTCAAGAGTGGTTTCACAGAAGATTAACATGTTTCTCAGGGGAAAAGAGGGAGGGGTGGCTCTTTAGTCAATTTAATTTAAGGAACTATGTAATCAACTTTAGGCATATTTCTTTATTGCAAGATTCTTGGAGATATCATTTGCTGATGCGCAACTGTGAATTTCCAAGAGGAAGGCATAATATGCAACTTTTCCTAAGCTCATGAGGTCAACCAAGGAAGCCCTTTAGGTGATTACTCACAAATTGTTTATCATTTACTTTGTAGGAAAGAATGTATTAAGTGATATAGGGGAATACAGATGCAGAAGACATTGCTTTATTTTCTTATAATAATTACCATTTTTACTGTGACCACTTTTTCAGTGTTTCATAGTTGTAGGAGCAGTGGTGGCAACAGGGAAGGAAGGAAGGCAGGCAGGCAGGTGGGAGGGAAGGAAGGAGGGAGGGAGGGAAGGAGGATGGCATGAATCTTGCTTTAAAAGAATTCCTCTAATTGAAGTGAACATGAAAAAAACGAAATGAAATGAGCAATGTAAGTCAGAATAAAATTACATGTAATTTTTTTTGGCTTTTTTTTTGGTATTAATCTACAATTACATGAGGAACATTATGTTTACTAGATTCCCCCCATCACCAAGTCCCCCTGACATACCCTATTACAGTCACTGTCCATCAGTGTAGTAAGATGCTATAGAATCACTACTTGTCTTCTCTGAAATTACATAAATTTTAAGGGTTCAGAAACCAATTAAAAGGCTACCCATCCTTCAAGACAAAATGTCATAGCTTTGGGAAGGCCTCTTCCTACCCTGAGCACCTGTAGTACCTTAGGTTCCAGTACCTTTCACATACTGCCTTGTAAGATAGAGATTTGTGTGTACTGCTGATCTACCGAATTTAATAGTCAACTCTGTGGCAGTGTCACCAGATTGTTTACATCCCTGCACATGTCATTTGTGGAAACAGCAAGGTATAAAGGTTAAGATCAAAAGCCCTGGAGTTGCACTGCCTGGGTGAATCCTGGTGCTGGTTCAGAGC